GAAAATATAATTGGTTCCTGAAAAACAAATCTCTGGCCAACTAAGAAAGAAGGAAGAAAAAGAAGAGAAGAAACAAATAAAGAAAGGCATATAGAACTGAGGTTTTCAAAATTATGAGACTATGACTTTAAGAGAGTACCACAGAGTTTTATTTTATACTGCTGTGACTCCAGAAAGCAAAACAAAACAAAACAAAATTTAGAAAAAATATACCTACTTTTACTCAAAAAGAGGTTAAATATCGGACTAGACCTAAAACATTAAAGTGGATTTGCTGTTCTCCTTCAAAGCCGTACAAATCCACACCCACTCACATAAATTACCAGACAGATGGTTGTACCTTCTGCCAAATCTTGAAAGAAAGATAATCCTTACACGATACAAATTGTTCTAGGAAGAAGAGAAGAAGGGAATGCTCTCCAACTCGCAGCTTTCTGAAGCCGGGATAACTGTAGGACTTTGAATTAAAAAAGCAGACCAGGAGGGCTGGGGCTTGTAGAGCACTTGCCTAGCCCTGTAGAAGGAGCGGGGAGCAGAGAGAAGACAGAAAGACCGAAACAGAGAGACAGAGAGACAGAGAGAGAGCACTCTAAATAAAGTCAGAGCAAGCCTGAAAAAGAAACAGAGGAAGTCATAAGTACTTTATCCTGGAAACACAGGAATGGCTGGATACCAGAGACATCTATCAATGTATACTCACATCGCGCTAGGGAGACAGCTGAATGCCGTAAGCGCCTTCCTGGCAAGCACAAAGTTCTGAGTTCTGTCCCCGGTAACAAAAGAGGAGGGCAGAGGAATCTTTACCCCAGTAGATTTTACAGAAGCATTTCACATAAATTTTATCATGCACTAATCTTTAGAACTGTCAGAAAACTAGCAAGGGAATTTCTTATCTTAATAAAGGAGAATACCAGAAACGTAAAGAGAAAGTCATATTGATGGAGAAACTTTATTTATTTATTTATTTGGTACAAAGTCTCACTACGCAAGCCGGATTCATAGTGATCCTACTGTTTCAGCCTCCCCAGGGCTGGGATTACAGGCATGCACCCCCATTCCCCCACTTGGTGGTCGGCTCCAAGTGCCCGGGTGGGGCCAGTGCAGCATGTGGTACTGAGGATCCATCTGGGACCCCAGTGCTTGCCTAAGCAGGTGCTTAGTCCACTAAGCTATCTCACAGGACCTGAGATTTTATTTTTATTTATTTATTTATTTATTTGTTTGTTTGTTTATTTTTACATTACCAGGGATTAACCTCAGGATCTTCTGCTTCCCAGGCAGGCGCTTATGCCACTGAGCTATCTCCCCGGCCCCCAAATGGAGAAACTTTAGACATAATTTGTGTGAGATTATGACGAGAGTAAGTGTGCCTGATGCTTTGTCCAGCTTGGTACTAGATTTTTGGCCTAAGCTATAAGAAATGAAAAAGAGGGCCAGGGAGATAGCTCAGTAGAATAAATGCTTGCCTGGCAAGTGCAGGGTCCTGAGTTCAATCCTTAGTACCAGAAAGAAAGAAAGAAAGAAAGAAAGAAAGAAAGAAAGAAAGAAAGAAAGAAAGAAAGAAAGAAAGAGAGAGAAAAGAAATTAGCAGGGTATGTTGGCACATACCTGTAACCCCAGCACTCTGGAGACTGAGGCAGGAGGGTCACCATAATTTTGAGGCCAGCCTGAGCAAGACAGTGAGTTCGAGGCCAGCCTGACCAACATGGTGAGACTCTGTCTCAAAAAGAGAGAGAGAGAGAGAGAGAGAGAGAGAGAGAGAGAGAGAGATTAAAGGCATAATAGCTTTGCAAAATATAAAAATATTCTGCAGACAAACTGGCAAATGTGAAAAAATAAGCCAGGCTATTTACCTGATCAGTAAAAATTACAAACATCCACTGTGTTCTTCTACACCAGTAATAATCAAGAGGAAAATATAGCGAAGCGCTTCTGTTTCTGGCCACAGTGGAAAAACTGATACCGAATAAGCCCACCCACCATAAACAACTGGGAAACCAGAGAAAACGTATGAGAAGCTTCTTTGCAGATGCCGGCCAAGAGGCAGCCCGCACTGCGACTGCCCAGGAGAGCTGTGAGGGGCGCGTCCTGCGGTCAGCCTGGCTTCCTGCCCAGAGCAGCCTTCTGGACGGCGCCACGGGACGCAGGAGAAGCCGAGCGAAGCCTGAGCTGAAGAGACGGACATCACCCTTTGGGGAGAAGGAGGCAGGCGGCTGGCATGTGCGAGCTGGCGTACCGAACTCCGGTCCTCCGAGAATGAACTGCACAACTCGGCACAGGGCGCTCTTCACGCCTGTGGCGGACAGCGCGGGACCGAAGAGCTGTCAGCTGGGCAATTCCCAGAGCGCACACAGAGCTGGGAGAGGGTCAGGTTCAGAGAAGCCAGAGCGGAGGGATCTGCCACTGCATCCCCCACCTGGACGAGCTCTAGGAATCCTACACAGCCTCTCAGCAGCTGCCCAAGACCAGGCCTAATAAAGATCAAACAAGCTTCAGACTCTTTTTAAATTTGTTTACTAAATCCAGTTGACCTATATTCCTCTTTTGTCACTGGGTGGGGAGGGTCGCAGCTAAGGATCCCTTGCCAAGGCCAAGGCCATGAAGATTAAAAGGATCGTGCTTATCTGCTAATTAAATACCCACTAGAAGCCCACTAGTCTTTTAAAGGAGATATTAAAAAAACAAATAAACAACCAGACATTCAACAAAGTAAAACTCACAATATCCAGTGCTGTGCCTTATAGCTGGGTGCCCCACCCCCACCCCAGAAGCCTCATGGGCTCACAGTGGGGCTTTTGGGAGATGGGTAGATCATCAGCGTGGGATACAGGATTAAGGGTGTGACTCTACCCTGCACTAGTGCACTGAGTGGTTTAGCTCGGTCTACGGGAGAGAGCGAGACAGAGACAGAGACAGACAGACAGAGACAGAAAGATAAATTTATTAGCATAGGATTCTTTAGTCAGAGAAAATGTCCTTCAAAAACAAAGATAATGCAGGATACACAAAATGAATTCCAAGTGTGCGAGCCATGGTACCGCACACCTGTAATCCCAGCACTCAGGAGGCTCAGGCAGGAGGATCGCCCCAAGTTCAACTACAAGTTCTCTACGTATTTTGGGCTGCATAGAGAATCCAAGGCCAGCCTGAACTTCACAGTGTGACTTTGTCTCAAAAATAAAAAATAAAAAGAAAGTTAACTTTAGATCAAAGGCCTAAATATAAGAGCTAAAAGCAGCCAGGCATGGCAGCTCACACCTGTAGTGCCAGGTTTTCCTTGGAAAGCTGCCGTGGGAGGGTCACTTGAGCCCAGGAGTTGGAGACTGGGCAACATAATGAAAACCTGTCTCAAAAGGCAAAAATAGGGGCCGGGGAGATGGCCCAGTAGAATAAGCACTTCCCTGGCAAACACAAGGGCCTGAGTTCAATCCCCAGTTCAAAGAAAGAAAGAGAGAGAGAGAGAGAGAGAGAGAGAGAGAGAGAGAGAGAGAGAGAGAGAGAAAGAAAGAAAGAAAGAAAGAAAGAAAGAAAGAAAGAAAGAAAGAAAGAAAATCCTTAGAAAAAGAGCTAAAATCTAGTGGCACACATCTGTAATCCCAACACTCTGGAGACTGAGGCAGGAGGATCACTGTGTGTTCAAGGCCAGTGTGGGCTACCTAATGAGTTCAAGATCAGCCTGAATTACAAATCAAGACTCTCTCTCTCTAAAAAAAAAAAAAAGAAAAGAAAAGAAAAAGGAAACCCACAAATATAAGAAAACATAGGGACCAATCTCTACAACTTGAATTTGGCTGTACATTCTTAGATGTGATGACACTGAAAGCGTTAAAAAAAAATGGGTAAATTGGATTTCATCAAAAGTAAGATCTTTCACCTCTTGGCAGATAGCAGGAAGACGAAATGGTCATGTACCAAATGAGAAAACATGTCTGCATCGTAGTACGCAAGGGCTTAGTGTATAGAGTTTATAAAGAAGTATATAATGGAGTATTACTCAGATATAAAGAAATATAAACCCAAGGCTATTACAGGTAAATTGTTGCAACTAGAGACTGTACTTGTTAGTGAAATAAATCAGATCTGCATGTGTAAACATCAGACTGTCTCCCTAGTATAAGAACCTGAAAGAGTATGCAAAATCTGAAAGGTACAATAGATGTTGTGAAAGGGAAAGAAACTGCTCAAAAGGAAAGCACAATAGGGATGAGGGAAAGGAGAAAAAAAAATTAGTTAAGATAATTGTACTACTAATTTCTATTGGTTTATTGAAAGAACACTTAACTCTTTTTTTTTTTGACCAATTATACATACTTATACCCGGTAATCTGAACAACTATTTTGAAGACAACAATATGCACTATAACAACCATTGCTGAATTCCTATCATCTTGTTTTTTGAAACTCTATATTATTTCTAATATTTTTTATCCTATTTAAAACAAAAAAATAAAGGGCCAGCCAGATAGCTCAGCAGACTAAAGCACCTGCTTAGGCAGGCACAGTGACCGGGGTTTGATCCCGGGCATGCTATGCCAACCCCACCCCCAGGGCATGCTGAGACAGCAACTGAGACTGGGCGTGGTGGCGCACGCCTGTAATCCCAGCACTTGGGAGGCTGAAAACAGGAGGATCACTATGGGTCTGATCTGTGTAGTGAGACCCTGTAAGACCTGCACTAAAATAAAAAAAAGAGAGAGAGATATAGAGTAAGCATTCGATACTTCTCGAGACATAATTTAGAAAAGAAGCTCAGAATAGCAGAAACCTTGGCCTGAGAAGGGCTATCAACAGCAAGATAGTGTCCACATTGGGAGACCTGAAAGCAGAGTCAGGGTGAGTGACAGCCCCAGGGAGAGGACCGTGGCAGATGCATAACGACCCCAAAGCTAGCAGCTTGGGAGGCTCCCAGGAGTCCCCTGGTAGTCCACATAACACGAGTTTCCCTGGTTCCACTTTCCTTCCCAGGGATGAGCCCCACACCTCCCGCCAGCAGCTCCAGGATGGAGGCAGTGACCTGGACCTACTTGGCTGTGATCTTCCTGACCATGACGACCTGTGTGTGTGGGATAGCGGGCAACAGCACTGTGGTTTGGCTGCTGAGCTGCCGCTTGCGGCGCACCCCCTTCTCCATGTATGTGCTCAACCTGGCGGCGGCCGACCTCCTCTTCCTCCTCTGTATGGCTTGCATAGTAAGCCTGGAGACCCAGCCCATGCCTGACTTGGATATCGCCAATGACAGATCCAAGACGTTTAGTTTGCTTGCCAAGGCCTACGAGGTAACTATAAGGGTGAAGTACTTCGCCTACACCACCGGCCTAAGCCTGCTCACAGCCATCAGCACCCAGCGCTGCGTCTCAGTCCTCTACCCCCTCTGGTATAAGTGCCACCGGCCCCAGCACCTGTCAACTGTGGTGAGCACCCTGCTCTGGACCCTGTGCTTCACCGTGAGCATGCTGTCTTCCTACTTCTGCACCACGTTCTCCCATTCCAATAAGCAACACTGTTTCAGGGTAGATGTAGCCATAAGCACCCTCATCATGGGGGTCTTCACTCCTATGATGGCCATATCGAGTATCACCCTCTTTGTCCAGGTGCGGAAGAGCAACCTGCTGCTGCGGCGGCGGCGGCGGCAGCCCCGGAGGCTGTATATGGTCATCTTAGCCTCTGTCTTTGTGTTCCTTGTCTGCTCCCTGCCCCTGGGCATCTACTGGTTTGTCCTGTACTGGACCAGCCTGGAGTGGAAGGTAAAGCTCCTCTGGCTTGGCCTGTCACGCTTTTTCTCCTCTGTGAGTAGCAGCGCCAACCCGGTCATCTATTTCCTGGTGGGCAGAGAGAGGCACCAGAAGCAGGAGTCTATGAGGGCTGTTCTGGACCGAGCACTGCAGGAGGAGCCTGAGCTGGAGGAGAGGGAGACACCCTCCACGGGCACCCAGGAGGGCATCTGAGGTGGCCCACTGAGCCTCTCCCCTTACAGGCCACACCCTGGGGGTGACAGCCCCTCCATTGCTTCCCTCGAGGTCCTGACTCTCCTGCTGCAGGAAGCGCCAGAGGCTTCGCTGTGTCCTGTGCTGGACTCACTCTCCTGCATGCCACGCCACCACCACACTGCATCTTGGCTCTACCCAGGAGATTTGGTGAAATTCCTCCCCTTATAGCAGATCATCTAGTCAAGGGACAGAGTAGCCTTTAGCTGGATCCTGTTTGAAGCTGGCTATGGAAACAGTCTCTAGAGGTAGGTCACAGGCATCCAGTCAGGGTGCAAAAGCTCATTCCCCCTTCCACCTCCTCTCCTTGAGATCACATCTTGGTCTAGGCAGGGGGAGTAACTGGCGTGGCTGCTTCTTGGGCACATGCTGGTGGCACCAACTGCCCATGCTGGTGCATGCCTGCAGCCAGTTACCTGTGCTCCCACTGTGGCCCCACATCTGGCTGATGCTGAGCCCAGAGATTCTGCCTTTCCCTCAGCTGATGCCAGGACTGGACTCTGAGGTCACCACACCCACCCCCTCAACCTCTGCTCCCTGCACCCTGCCGGACCTGTCCACTTTCCTCGAGAGGCCACACTGCTCTGATCCGGGCAGACAATGCACGCCAGGGAGAGTGCGTGCCAGGGAGAGTGCTTGCCAGTCAGTGTGAGGACACAACCGAGAGGCGACTCCTGGAGAAGGACAGGCAGGGCCTGGAGGTGCCCTGGCCTTCTGGAGGTGACTGCACAGGCTCTCTGCAAAGAGAGTGCACTCAAAGGAGAAGTAATCAGGTGCACTTTTTGCAGCACTGACCACAACAGCGAAAGAATGGGTGGCACCAAGGATCCGCCACTGGGTGACGGGTACTGGAAAGGCACTGAATGGACACAAAGGAATACTGCTCAGCCACAATCAGTGATGAAATCCTGTCACTTGAGACATCAGGAAAACAGACACTTTGTTAGGTGAAATAGGCCAGGCCAGGCACAGAAAGACAAACACCACGTGAGCTCCCCTTACTCAGAACCTAAAAGTGTTGGTCTCATATAAGTAGAGATTAGAACAGTTTGCCTGAGACTGGGGAGGACCGGGTGAAGGGAAAGGTGATCAACAGGTACAAAATTTTAGACAGAGGGAGGATAGGTCCTGGGGTTCAGACGCTCAACAGGATGGCTGTGTCACCACGACCAGTGTGACATATGCTTTAAAATAGCTGGGAGAGAGGATTCAGAGTCTCACCACAAAGGAACCATTAATGTTTGGGGTGACAGAAATGCTGATGATATTGATTTGATCCTTACACTATGCACCAGGTACTGAAACACCATGTTGTCCTGTATACATTTGTATAATTAATATATGTCAAAAAAAAAAACCCAAATAAGCAACAACCAGAAAAAAAAGAAAAATGCACAGCCTTGTATTGTTCTTGTCTCGGGATGTGGGCCCGTGGCATGCGGATACACATGTTCGCATATATGGGTTCCAGTCTAGACACCAAACAAACCAAGCTTGCTGGTTGGCCCTGCCCAGCTCTGCCAGGGAGCAGTTCCTCTCTGGGATCCTTTTAGGATAGGAGGGAAGGTGGTTTTGTTTTAGCATTAAGGATTAAGCCCAGGGCTTTAAATCTGAACCACGCTCTCAGCCTTTTTTCTTTTCTTTTACTCTGAGACAGGTTCTTGTTCAACTGCCCAGACTGGCCTTGAACGTGCAGTGCCAGTGCCTCAGTCTCCTGCAGTGCTGGGATTATAGGCATACATCATCTTGGCCTCTAGCACACATGGTCCTATGGCACCCAGAGAGAGCCCAGGAAAGGGGCCAAGGGGAGGGGGTTTCTGTCACACAGAGGGAGCCACCTGGCTGAAAGGCCTCTCCCTGTTGTAGCTCAAAAATCAGATGACAACGAGGCAAGTCCAAAAGTTAAAAGAAGCGCTTTATTTTAGCTGGTACCCAGCGGCAACACCCGGCACAAAGTGCCTAAGTGCGCCCCGAGCATTGACAAGGGTCAGTATTTAAGCTTGAAAACCACAAAAACAGGGAGGGGGTGGAGGGGAAGAAGTGGCAGGGTCATTAGTTTATGGGGAACAGATATCACAGGGGTAGGGGCTGGGGAGATGGCTCAGTGGAATAAGTGCTTCCTTGGCAAGCACAAGGGTCTGAGTTCAATCCCCGGTTCCGCAAAAAAAAAAAAAAAAAAGAGAGAGAGTTGAACAAACCAGGTATCACAGGGGTGAGGAATTGGGAGGAATAGTTCATTGAGATAAGGTTTGGGGAACAGATATCATAAGACTTGAGTCACAGGGGTGAGGAATTTGGAGGGGTCGGCGCATACAGAACAGGAACTCAGCGAGGTTAGAAGGGCAACAAAATGTGGTCAATTTTGGTAGGGTACAACATTCCCCAGTGCAAAGGATTCCCAGTCTCCTCCGGCCCATAGCCAGTTCTGTCCCCACCAGAGATACCAAGAGTGGGAAAGACTACAAGGTCTAGGGAGGAGAGGGAAGCAAGGCCTCGGAAGGCTGAAAGGCTTCCTGGAGGAGGTGAGCTGGCCCAGGATGAGAAGGATGCCCTGGATGTAGAGAAAGAGCGAAACTAGACCAGCGAATCAGTACCCGCTAGTATCCCGTCTGCCAGGTTCTGGTTGCCACCCTCCCTAACACAGTGGACCTGTACCCACCCTGGTAGAGCCCTGACTGAGTCCCGGGAGGTCAGATCCCCAGCACAGCACCCACCCCTGAAAGGTTGGAAGTGGTCCTGTGAGTCTGCAAGGTGGGTTAGCGCGAATCTAAAGTTTTTGTAGACTGCAGGCTCCTGAGCACAGGCAGCCCTAGGCACAATGCAGACAGAAGGCCTCCAAGATGTTCTAGAAAGGAATGAGCTGGGGGGAGCTGCCCTGTACCCCCACTGTAACCCCACAGAGCACCCAAAGGCATCTGTCCACCAGGGGCATGAGCCTACCTGGCAGGGGAACAGCAGGACATGCTCAGATACTCCACCCATGGGCAGAGGGATGGACATATTAGAAATGTGTGCATGTGTGGGGGCAAGCTAGTGATAGAAGGGTCCTAACACCCTAGCCCCTTTCTAGAAGGCCCAGGACATCCTCAGCAGAAATGGCCTCCCAAAATTGATCGGAAATCCAATCTGGTACCTTTGTCCCCAAACACATTTCATATCACCTCTTGAAACAAGGGAATTGCACATGGCCTCTCATGAGTGAAAAGGTGTCTTTTCACATTCCAAATTCACATTCACCTGGAACCTCAAAACACAACTTTACTTGACTGAGCATGGTGGTGCACTCCTGTAATCCCAGCACTCAGGAGGTGGAAGCAGGAGGATTATGAGTTCAAGGACATCCTGTCAAAAAACAACCACAGTCCCAAAACAAGACCTTCCCTGGAAAGATCTTTGTGCAGCTTTAACTAGTTGAAGCCGTGGTGGATTAGGGTGGCTAGTGTGTTTCCAAAAGCCATGTCACACATGTGACTGACAGGTCATGTCCAATTGCCCTGCTCTTTGCCATGCCCTAATCTCCTCCTCAGAACCTCCAGAGGGAGCCAGCCCTGCCACACTTCCACCTCAAGACACAGAAGGAGAGAGCTGTGTGACAACCAAAACCAGGGGCACAATGATGGGCGTGGGAGGACCAGGGCCACCAGGAGCCAAGAATGAGCTAGAAACAATTCTCTCCCCTAAGGCTATTACCAGATGGTGGGGTGCCCAGTGGTCCTTTTCAGGCTCTTGTCTGAACTGGATAGAACACAGAAGAACTTAAAAAGTTAACATTTATTAAAGGGAAAAAAGAAAAAGGGGAAAAGAAGTTCTCTGAAGAGAAAATACACTCTGCATGCATAGTAAATCTGTGCAAAAACAAGAAAACAATGGCCACAGGCAAATGTCCGCCATCTTTTAATCCTCCCCTTCTGATGTCAGATCCAGTCGTCTGGGGCAGGGCTCCACAGCTGCTCTGTGCCTGGCCCTGGGGTCTTCGTGGTGACTAACAGGTCATGTCCAATTGCCCTGCTCTTTGCCATGCCCTAATCTCCTCCTCAGAACCTCGAGAGGAGCCAGCCCTGCCACACTTCCATCTCAAGCTTCTGGCCTCCAAATCTAAGAGAATGAAAAACAGTCTTCTCAGCCCCAAGTCCTTGGGACTCAGGCTCAAGACTGCTGCTGATGCCTTCACTCACTAGAACTGAATTGACACAAGAGACCCAGGACAGAAGAGCTCTTACCAACTTCTGATCCCAGAGCATCTCCAACCCATGCTAGGTCCCATCAGTCCAGTAGCTCCCCACAGTGTTGCTCATGAACATCTATCTGTCTGTCTTTTTATTTCTGCCTTACGTCTGGCAGAGTCCACAAGGACTATCTCAGCCAAGGACCCCAAGTACAGACAGGTTGTTGTCATTTGAATAGAACTGCATATACATGAGCATGCTTTGGGCAGCAACTGGAAAAAAAAAAACTAAAATCAAGTGAGACAAAAGGGAAGAGAAGTTTATTGATTCTCATAACTGAAAACTCTGACTATGGCGTGGGCATGGCAGGATCCAAATGATCAGACAGCTCCGTCTGGAGCCATTTCTCTTCCTAAAGTTCTCAGTTCGCTGCCCACTTGCATCCCAGATCTCCCCATGGACTCAACTCTCGGCCAAGCACACCCCTTCGCTGGCATAATGAGCTTCCGCTCTCGGATTCCATTCTGTAGCTTAGGGCCCCAGAAGGAAGCTGAGTTCTGCTTTCCCTAGTACTTCTCATTAAACTCCTGGGATTGACTTGCTGGAGAAATTGGCCTCAAGTCCTCTTGGATGAGACTCAGGTACTTTTTCCCAAGCTAATCAAGAGCTGGGATGGAGTCTGCTGATTGCAGGAGCCTAAAGCACGTTGTGTTGTGCTGGTGAAGAGCCAGCAGCGAGGTCAGAGGATCCCTCCGAGAAACGCTCGGGGCTCATCCCTGCTAGTGAGGCCTGGGC